ATATATATATAATTGAAGTCTGGCCCATCCAATGTAATATATTTTCCGGTCACGAGGGACAATATCTCTACCACATGCGCATGTTCCCCCGTTTTCTATTTAACGAAGCCCCTACAGAAAATCATAGAAAACCTAAGCGAAATGGAAAAGCATAGATCCCCGATCTTAACCCTAGCCGCCGCAGCGGCGGCGATATCCATCGCCCCTCTCCATCGCCCTCTCCTTCCACACCACCGCAGCAGCTCCCATAGACTTCATCCGATCTTCCTGCAATGTAACCCGCTACCCCGACCTCTGCGAGAAGTGCCTAATCGGCTACACCCCAGCGATCCGGCACCGCAGCCCCCGCCAACTCGCTCACGCGGCCCTGAAAGTTTCCGCCGATCGCGCCTTCGCAGCCTCGAACTTCGTTCACAAAATGTCGGTGGGCTCAAAATCCTCCTCAACAGCTCGAAGAACCCGCGACGGCGGTGCCGTTCGCGATTGCGTCGAGACCATCGACGACTCCGTTGATCGGCTGCGGAGATCGGTTAAAGAGATGGAGCGAATGGGGCGACACGGAAGCATATCTTTCGGTTGGCATCTGAGTAACGTTCAGACGTGGGTGAGCGCCGCGCTTACAGACCAGAGCACATGTCTCGATAGCCTCTCGCAGGACAAATCGGCGGCAAATGTGCGGCCGGAGATCCGTCGCCATGTTGTGCACGTCTCCCGGCTTACCAGTAATGCGCTCGCGCTCATCAACCGCCTTGATCCCAATAACTGATTCCTTCATCTGCTGCAACTCTGGTTCGTTACACTATTATGTTATTTTGTGTCTTCTTTTTAGAAAAAAATATGATATATGCGGATTGATTTGATAGTATTTGATGGTATTATAATATATTATTATAACATCAAATATCATTAAATATCATAGGTAATATTCGCTCTTGTTCTAATGTTTTTGATAAATGCTTGTGACTTAATCCTCGTGTGAGGTAGTTATGGTTGATGTATTGGTTGTAATATAATGTCATGTTAGTTGTATATTGTTATATGGTAGCTATTGTTAAAGTTGGGGTTTTGATGATGATTGATGTGTATTGCTGCTCCAGAAATTTTTTAGGCAGTTTCTTTTTTTTTTTAGAATTTAATCATAAATCTAATCTAAATTCAGTCAAACATTATATATATATAGATAATTAAATTTAATATTCTGTTAAATTGGTTGTTTTCACGTTCTGTCTTTTCTTTCTGAATTCCGTCTCTTTTACGTTGTAAATCTAAATTTTTTTGCTTGCAAATTTATCTCGGTCGAGTTCTGATTTAGTTTCATGTGCGAATTATAGTATTTAGATGTTATTGGTAGTATTGTGGCAACACGATACCACCAATAACACTATCTGCACCTAATCCGGATGGGGTATTCGGATTGGATTTGATAAATCCTTTTTAGCCAAACACCGCATTAGTATAATTTTAATTTTGATAATGGATGTGCTGATTTTTTTAGTTAATGATTGTTTTCAGTTAAGCTAGTGTGATTAAAGGCTAATTACTTTCAGCTAATGACAGCTGTGCCCCCTTTTGTTGTTGGGTATGGTGGGTGATAACATGGGGACCAAATCTATATATTTAGATTGATGTAGACATCTAATTAATTTTTTTATTAGAGAATATTTTTTTTAACTGATTTTATGTATAAAGCTTTAATTTTAACTAGGAAAACTAGTGCTTAAATTTCCTAAAATTTTATTTAAATATTAAAAGTCATAATAAAATTATTTGTTCTTTTATTAGCATTTCATGAAATTTCAATCATAAATTTACTAGTTTAAAAATGAGTACCAAGTGTCCAAAATCATAATCAGAGTCGGAGCCAGATTATGTTCAGAATGAATAATAGCCCTCCTAGAATTTATAATTTCTCTATATAAATAATAGTTTTTTTTTTATAGTTTATGCAATTTAGTAATGTTGGCTTGCTTGATATATATTTTGCTCAATACTTGAAAAAAAATTAAACATTTAGTGATTTTGCCCACCATAAAAAATATAATGATGGTTTCGCCCCTAACTTTTTTTCATTGGCAAATAGCTTTATTAGATTTATTGTTTATTTCTCATAAACAACTTTTTGTGTATTTCTTTTAGCTTTGAAAATATTCAAAATTATAATTTGAACAAATTAATAGTTATGAGAGTGCAATTTCACACAATAAAGCAAGTTGAACTAAAATCATGAGACACCAAATATAATTGAATCTTAATCACCCAAATTAAGCTAAATTGGATTGAAACAGACTTATCAATGGGGGTTATCCCCTCCTTTTTCATTGATCTTTCACTTGTCTTTCAAACTAGTGTATCTAAGTCCTCCATCAAGTGGTCCAATTGGTCCACAAAAATTGTCCTAGAACTTTTCTTACTAAAAGGAGCTTGAATCAACATTTATATCACAATGAGAAACTCCAAATTTTGTGTAGTTTATCAAAGAAATTGAGAGATTAAAATTTCTAAAAGTCTCTCGAGGACATTTTACTTCAACATTATTGAGAAACTCCAAATCGTGTCTAGTAACCAAGAACTCAAATTGAAAAAATACTCCTAGTTATTTTTATGAACCATTAATGTGTTGGATTTCTCTTATTATTACAAACAAATTTATGTCAAGAGCATTGCCTATTATTAATATATATATTTGCAATGATTAAAATCAAATCATGATCTTCCTAAAATCATTTTAAATGATTCCACCAATATATTTTTGATATGTTAATACTATTTAATTCATGGTAGAAACAACTACAAAATGGTGTAAAACATTTTCTAATAGCATCTACCACAATTGAACCACATCTATTGGTCATATTGGTTAGCCACCCAAACTGGCCTTAGCTCAATAGAGCCCTTGAGGATCAACTGAAGGGCAAGATTATTTGGACACCATTTGAATGAAAACTAAATGATTTGGTCCACTCAATTCAAAGTATAGGCTAGTAAATCAAAAAAGAAAAAAAAAAAAAGGTTCAAAGTGTATCTTACAAAAACATATAAATAGACACTATTTCTACATATTCTAAATACAATTCAAAATAAGAAAGATTAACTCCAATTTATATGAGACATCCAAAGCTCTGACTATGATTTTAAACCTTCAAAGGATAATCTCTAATATTTTGCCAATCTAAACTTCTCTTATCTTTTTAGTCGCTTAGTCTTTCTCTACAAGTAAGAGAAATGTCACACTGATTGCCCTTTTATGTCTAATATCTCATAGTTGTTATCATTGTTATATAATGCTTATCAATGACCAATGTAAATGCATGATGCTCGCAATCATCCATCATTTGGTGGATTAATGAAGAGATGCAATGGGTTAAGAAAACTCAGATGAAGTCTTATCAAACTATTTATAGGAATGCGAGAATCAGAGCTAGTTAACTCTGTTTTTTTATCAAAACATGACCCTCTAAGATTCAAATAAAAACACTGGTGGCATGATCCTTCAAGCAACTAAAACAAAAACAAAAAAAAAACAGGCTTGAAGAGGTTTCCTCGTGGCAAATTTCCAATGAGAGATGAATAGGTCATCTCAAGGATGCTCTAGTCGTTGCTAAAGGTGAAGTAACCTAGTCTTCACTTCATCAAGGTCTTGACATGTTCTGAGAGAAGCCTCGGAGCTTGCCTCCATTTTCGCTTCCAAGGAAGGAACATGCTCTTTCAACTCCACGACATCCTCCTTCAGGTTGGTAACCATGTCCTGCAAGTCCAACACCTTGGCTTCTACCATCTCTGAGCCACCACCAGACTCCATCTTTTTGGCAAGTAAGGAGAGAGTGTCAGCCAACTCAAACAACAAATCCGTCACATGCTCCGAAAGGGCCGCCCAATGAGCAAATGAAAATTTTGCCAACGTTAGTTGCTCATTGGCATCCCTTACTTTCTATTTTTTTTAAAAAAATTTAATTTTTTTCAAACTCAGCTATTTAATTCCTAACCCTATGGATAAAAAAAATGAATTTGACTATTAAGAAATTGATAATAATTTTTATTTTTCATATTATATTTGTAATTATAAAAATATAAACTTGAAATGATAAATATAAAAATTTTAGGTGCTATATATGTAAAAACGTAAAAGCCCCAATTTATTATGCAACATGTTCAAGGAAGCAATTATTGAATATGACATATCTTCAATAATGCTAAAATACGTCGGCCAAATAATACATGCATCTATAATTCAATTTTGGTGGCTTCAATTCGTACGAAGCATTTTGTGCAGTCAATTCGTCCCTTAAAAGTATGAAAGAAAATATTTTTTATTTAAATGACTTGAAGTACTTCAGGATTGGAAGGGGAAGGCCTTCCTTTACTCCATTTAATTATTAGGCATATTGTGATGGAATAATATCACAAAATGGCTTTTCTATATCTTCTATAAGCACTGAATATCATTTCCTAGTATCATTTGATTTCATATTTGCTTACAGTAGTAGAACTGGCACACATTATGTGCAGTATAGAATCTATAATTCGGTATGGTTGTTAGCTAAACTGAGCCCGATTCAAAGTTGATCTAAAGTATTGGCTCGTAGTTCGGATCATTTATTTCGATCTGATCTCGTTGCGAGCCAAAATTTGAATCAATTTTTGAACGAGTGACGGTCTTCGAGCTAAATTTGCTAAATTCACTGATCTTATATTATTATGGCTGTTAACGATCTGATTTCGAGCCGAGTTGGGATTGACTTGAAATCGGCTAATAAAACATTTGATTCAAAATTTTGGCTCACAGTTTGGCTCATTTATTACGATCCAGCATATCAACACCTAAACTCCTCAAACATGTAGTTGAGAAGCCACATATAAAAATAACTAGGGCCGCTGAGAAATTTAGCAGTAAATATTTTTACCCAAAAATACAAAAAAATATTATATTAGAAGTCATGATGCAAAAATGCATCATGACTTCAATCACTGTTTGTCACGTGTAGATTCCAGCCCAATAGTGTATTAAACTATTTAGATTTTTTTTTTTTTTTTTATGACGGAGGGCGGGATTGTACACGTGACTGACAGTGATTGAAGTCCTGATACATTTTTACATCAAGACTCCTGATGTAATATTTTCTCCAAAAATACAGTATGCAATATCCATGATGAGACATTTTTTGAATATATCTATTTGTTGTGTTAGGTTAAA